ATACATATCTCTATCTACATAGATGATATGTTTGTATGCAAAAAAAAAAAAAAAAAAAAAAAAAAAAAAAAAAAAACACACACACACACAAACATAGAACTTGCACATAGCGCAATCAAACTTGGTCAGAAGGACTAGGGATTACTAGGGCTTGAATGAAAAAAGACGGGCAACCGGTTTTGATTTGCGGGCATACTCTTGCTTACAGCTCAGTGAAGCAATAATTTGCGATCCGTATTCCGCATAATCCGTACTCCGCTAATCAGGTTTTGAACAAGCCAGAAATTATAGCTTTCTGCTACCTGTCCCCTAGTTCTTGTGAGTATCTCATTGCATTCCGAGTACGCGGTCAGATCGATCTACTGCACCGGCCTCAGCGCGAGAATTCCCAGGCACGAGACGCAGTCAGGACCCGGCAAGAAAATCATTTGGGGCCACATGGGAACCAAAAGGTCGGCAGAAGGAAACCAAAAGGTCAAAAGGTTGATTCGCTTTGGGGAGAGACAAACAGCCAAAGCTGCACAATTTTTAGCACATACGACCCCCCAAAATGGGTTTCCTTTGTCTTCCTTGTCAAATGGCCCAAACAAGGGTACCCCTCAAAACAAGAGACATACATACATATACATATACACATACACATATATATATATATATACAATCCCTTCAATCCCAACTCCATGGTTTTATGCCTGACAAGTCTGTGGCACCATACCCTGGTGCCAGCGCGGGTGTCCTGGTCGAATTGTCTGCCGGAGCGTCGCTGTCCACAGCAGGCGTCTCTGCCTCACTTAGTTCAACAGACCGATTTGGTCAGTTGCTTCTGCAGGGGGCTTTGGTGGGCCATTTAGTTCACGGGCTTGGGAGTGATTACTCGCCTTGGGGTTCAAGGTCAAGTAAACAAGAGTGCCTTTTGCATCCTTCAGGTACCTTTCAGTCTGGAAAGGATGACTAGCATTGGCTAGGTCACGAACTCGCTTCTTGAGTGGATTAGCCAACATAGTCTGAACTGTTTGTTAGCCACTAAAACGGTCTTCCCAAAAGTGTACAGTCCAAGAACTCAGGGAGTGCATGCTCTTGTTGACACAGCTTCCATTGCGAAGATACCAACCGTTGGCAGATTGGACTTTCGCAACGCAACCCAACCCCCCTTCCAAGAACCCTCAGCATACCATTGAGGCCAACCCATTCCATTTCCGACTCGATTCTTTTGGGCCGGCTCGGGTGAGAAAAGACCCGCAACAAAACAAGTACCTAAGGACGTACTGAAGGACCCCTTTTGACCCGCAGAACTTTGCCATCTCAGCCCAGCGGCATACATGGAGGGACGGGCCGTATCCACTCGGTACCTCTGCGGATCGCTTCACCAAAAGCCAGTGCAGATTCTGGCCAACCAGGTTTCCTTTTAGTTTCCCTGAAAAAAACACCCAAACAAGCCTGTCCTCAAAAAAGACACACCCATTTGAGAGTGAACAGATCAATCACTTGCCACGTCTGTCTCTCACTTCTGGTGTTAAAACATTCAGGGGTTGGACGAGCAGGTCAAACAGCAGCCCGAGTAGCTGAGCTTGAACAAAGCTGCAGCAACAAAAAACAAACAAAGCAAACGGCCAAACAGATTTCAGGGCCTTACACATGAAGGAAATGCCTGTGACAAGCCCTGACAAACCTTTTGAACCTCAAACCCATCCAAATCTGCTTGAAAAGGTATAGTTGCTGGTGCCCCGCATGTGATGATATGCATGGACATGGAATGAACTTTCTGTTTTTGCAGCTCCGTGCTTGAAATCAGAAAGCAAAAGCCAATGACCAAATCTTCTGCAAACCGAACTGACATTCAAGGACATGTTCAGGCGTGGATTTTGGAGGTATGGATGCTTATGTACCACCCATATAAGCTTGCAAGGCTGTACAAAGTCCTTTATATAAGTGGTATATAACCATACAACCTCCCATACCTCCACAACCCATGCGTGAAAATGCCCCCTTCCAACATGCTAAGGGATGGCACGCCCAGCGCTGGTAGATATAGACAAAGAAGATGAGATCGTCCCTGAAGCAGGCGAGCCTGGCGAATTCAGGGTCCGATGAAGGCGGGTTGGCCGATGCCATTTCGATCTTGAGCTGCTTTTTTTCGGGCTGGTCTTAAAGGGAAAACAAAGGGAACACCACAAAGTTGTGGGGAATGCAATGTGACACACATTGCATTGCTGGGCCACCATTTTGATGACCTCCATGGCGCGCTTTTGACTGGACGCGGCGATCTACGCGGGAAATCTCGGCCTTTTTTTGCTCAGGACCCTTTGGCTTTCTGCGACTCATCTGGGCTTGTGTCAGGGGACTCCCTTTTTTGGTAGGTTTCCTTCTGGTTTCCAACCCCAACATAAAGACCCTCAAGCAACAGTGCGTCGGTTGAGGGATGGCCCGCAAGAACCAGTGGTTCAAATCCAAATCTAGGTCCTCCTGTAGAGAGGTTAGAATAAGGGGACCCTTTTTCTGTAGTTTATTTTAGGTCCCGAACCCTCCCAACCAAAAAAGAAACGGTGAGAGGTTGGGCACCCTTTCAAGCACCTAGGGGCCCGGGAGGCGCCGACACTCGGCTCACTTGGAGATGCTCTTGCGAACCAGCTTGGCTGCCGGCTTCGCCTGCCCCAGTGCGGCCATTTGGGGTGATCGTTTTAACGGTACCTGGTTTTGTCCCGCGCAACTGGGAAACCCAACAGGAAAACCTATGTTGTTTTGTTCCAAGCCCTTTGGCCAATCCCAAGAATATCAAACACAACTCGGTTTGGGTCTCTGTTGATCCGCGGAGCCACATCCTCTGGACATGCGCAAGGTACCGTTTCATTTTCCTGTCAATTTTAGGGGAACCCTCCCCAAAAAAAGGGGTGAGAAAGGGCACTTGGGGGACCCAAGGTATCTCTGCGCCTCACTTGGGTCAGGTGCAGCTCCGATGTGCGCGTGCACGCATTTTCAGCTTGTGGCAAAATTGGCGCTAAGCCCGTTATTTCCGGAGTCCTTGTAACGTGGACATCTGAAAGAGCATTCACCAATCAAGGCTTGGTGCCTGTGACATACAGAACTAAAGCGCTGCGACTACAGCGGCCAACCTGGCCTTAAAACAAATGGAATCTGCAAATTTTACTAGCATTCCAAAAACTGAAATTCAGGATCTTGAAGGAAAGGACCTTTAGCATGGTGAGCTTGTTGTACCCCCAGGTGAGCTCGCTATAAAATAGGCAAATGGAATACGTGCTGGCTTTCTTCAAACGCCAGCCAAAGTTAACCAAACAAAACCAACCAAACACCAGGAAAGAACTTGTCCCAGGAGCAGACATCAACTCGAAACATGCTATTCCAAGCAAGCTGACTTGGGTACGTGTCAAAACAGGGAACCCCACACAAACAGGGGTTTCCCCGTGCAGCTTCCCTTTAAACCAAAACACAGCCACATCTGATGTCGACCATGGTTGGCTCCCCTGACGTTGATGGCCTGAAACTCAACCATGGCAAAGGGTATGTGACTTTTTGAGGGTGCCTGTTTTACGATGCTGTTTGTTGGGAAACCAAAAGGACAACTTCGATTGTTGGTTCTACAGCTTCAGGCCTATCTGTAACTCTGTAGAACCACCTGCTAAAATTGCTCTTTCGAGGGGTTTTGCTCGGGTGTTTGGCCAAGTTAGTTGCAATGGTAAACTGGGTTATAAGTTATGACCCAATTGCAAGTCCCCCGTGAATGTAAGGTTGACCTTGTTAGGCGGTGAAAAACTCCCAAGTGGCGATCACTACTTACTAACCTGGGCTGTGCTCAGATCCCCCGCTTCTAGTGTAACTTTTAGTCCGTCAAATGGGAACCCAACCACAAAACCAACTAACCACCTCACAACACCTAAGGAACCGGACGATTCGCTGGGAACCGCAAGGAGACTTGGCCGGCAAGGAACATCAAAGGCTTGCCTTTGCCTTTTTGCCCTAACATGTCCAGCGATGGATTCACTTTTGAAACAACAAGGGGAACACAACAAACTCTTTAGCAGCTGGAAGTTTGTGTTCTGTAAAACCGACAGCCACCTTTGTCCAAACGTGACACACCTAGGAACTCCGTTGAGGCCCCTACCATTCTTTTCACCCATATGAGAAATGGATGAGACTTCCGGGGAAAGTCGAGACTTCTCGAAAAAACAGTTCACACGGCTAATGCGAGTAGTGGGATGTTGATTTTGAAATGAACCCCTTATGAAATGATCCTTGAAACATGGGATGTCTCCTTGGCATTGACCCTTTCATGGAGGAATCTTACATGGTAGTCGAGAATTCTTAAGCAAGCGGGGTTGATCCATATTCCCTTCGGCCCCCAAATGACCATGGGTAACTGTTCCCGTTGTGTGGTTGAAATATCAACAATGTTTAGCTATTTTTCAACCAAGGGTCATCCCATGTTCATGGCGGACATTTTGACCAACCCCCCAAATGGAGCACCCCCAGTAAAAATGAACAGAACCATAAAAACAAAACACAACTCGCCAGAACAGTGAATGAACAGAACCAAAACGGTTCCAAAACAAACCAAACACCCCAGTAAAACATGAGAAGCAAGAAACTAAAGAAACTAAAAAAAGAACAACACATCTTGCCAACAGTGAAGACATGGTCGTAGAGTTGAGACCCGCCTTGAGACTTGGACTCGAGCTTCGCAGTCGATGGGCCCAAAGCGCGCAAGCGACGTCCTCGCCGCTCCAGCCCAGGTCCTTGGCCTTGGCCTGGACCTCAGAAATGCGCCGATCCTTTGGGGCCGTTCTCCAAGAAGCATAATGTTGACCCCGGATTAATAAACCACTAACACCGGGGACACCCCATATTAATAAACAGGGGTTTATTAATCCGGGGTCAACATTGTATATATATATATATATACATCTCGATACTACTCGGGGATTTTCTAGACAAGATGGAGGTTTCTCTTGTTCCCCTTTGCACCACAGAGGCTTCTGTGGCAACGAGCTCTGTGGGAGGCTGCTTTTTCGTCGGGATGATCACCCATGAGCGGTTCGAGTTGCCCGTGGATTGCTGTGACGTCCCCTTGTCTGGAAGGCATGGCTTCTTCGCTTTCGGTTCCCAAAGCACCCCAGTGTCCTCGAGACCCACCAGAAGGACACCAGCAACATACCAGAAGGAAAAAGGAAATCCCCAAATAGACAGAATTGCTCAAATTTTTTACCACTCAGAGATATCACTAACATCTGGTAGCAAGACTCTGGCCAAAATCCACAGCACAAAGCGAAACAGTTCTTGAATTCCGGCTCATTGATTGTGCGGCTTGAATTCCCCTATGAGCTTTGATTTGGGGCTTGTCTCAAAATGGGGGAGCTCCAGAAACTGTAATGTTCTTTTTGTTTCCGGTGGAAGACAGGGTATCCTCAACAACAAGGTGCCCTCATTTTGCAAGGCCTGTCCATTGTTTCGCAAGAATTTGCAAGTGAAAGAAATGGGGTTTCAAAATTGGGATTCGGACCCAAACGGGACTTTGGTTTCCTTTCGGTTTCCCTTCAAACCTGAGGCTGGATCTAAAGAAAACGAAGAAACAATAGCACGCGCGCCGCTCCGCGTTGCGCCTCCGCTTTGGTTCCGGTTCTTTTGCCGAACGAGGTCGATGGTTTGTTGAGGTTTGAAACATCTCGTTTCCGATTTGTTTTCCAAGGCCTGCGACGTCCATCACGAAATCTATTTCTTTTAAACAGTGCTCTCTATATGAATGGCTCGTCGTTCTCAGGAATCGGACCCCCCCAAATGGCGCAACCGGCTTGCCGTTTGGCTTCCCTTTAAAGCCAAAATACGAAGGCTACCCTCCAAACAAGCGACGCGCCACCAAACAGGTTCCCTTTAAACACCCCAGGAAACTCCCCTTCAGTGATGCCTGAATCCGATTGACATGGGAGCCAACCGTATTGGTTCTGTCGCATGCAAGGAACCTTCCCCTTTTGGGGAAAAAACAATCAACTGAAGGGAAGTAGCTGAGATTCAAGGGCAACAAGGGTTTCCACCAAAATCCACCATGAAACTAACACATTACCATATCCCTTCTATTGGTAGATGAGTTGAAAGGAAGCGCTCCCCACCAAACAAATCGGTAAACACTCACCCTGCGTCGATGCTGTTCGGACGTATAATTGTTCGTTTTCCCAAAGGACCTGGGAAATTTGGGTCGGAAGAACGAAACGAAGGGGACAACTTAAGGCCCTCCCCCCAAGAAGAGTTCTTAATATCTTCGTGGAAGGGTTCCAAACAACAATTCTGGTAGCGGGCCCTAATAGCCCGAACATACGCGGTAGATTTTACATAACCAACTTAGGAACTTGGCAAATGTATCAAACCGAAATGGATCGATGTGCCGAAAGCTGATGGATGCTCGGAGCCCCTACGAGTTGGTTGAAGCGCGCGTAGGTCTTCATGTCATACCTCCAGTCGACTTTTTCTCCCGAAGTGGTCCACTTACAACCAACACCAAAAAAAGGCCCTTTGTAGAAGACACCAAACTCTTTATCGGACTCCCCTGGTTTTAGAGCCTTGGGAAACTTTGGAATGGAATTGTAGAATCAGTCCGGAACCTAACATGAGGCAACGGTTTCCTTTTGGTGCAACCCCCAATCAGACGCTTTGGTTTTTCTGCCATCCAACAAAGGGGACCTACATATTTGGAACCCGTGCGAGTCCTCTGCGGTCCAGCCTTGAGTCACGTCAAGCCGGCATGAGCCACAAAAACCCAAAAAACGTAGAAACGTGCGGAGTGGGTGTGTCTCAAAAAGAAGCTGGTGCCCCCAAACACGGATTTGGCTTTCCTGCTGGTTTTCCATTGAAACCACCAGAAGAAGACAAAGGGCTCAACAAAAGGCACACCCAATTGCACATCTTGCTGTGAAGGCAAGCGCCCATGCCCAGTCAACTCTCCCCCCCCCAAAAAAGAACATGTCAAAGCAAGGCCCTCGAGCAATCTCAGGCTCAAGGAAAAAATACAGCTCCGTCTCAGTAACCTTCACACATTGGGTCCGTCGAAATTTTCAGGGAACCCTCTTTTGGTTTGAAGGAGACCAGCAGGAAACTGGGGTCTCCAAAAAAACACATCCATATGGATGGGCCCCCAAAAGGTCAGATCTCGGCGGATGGCTCACTTGATGTCGGAGGCCTTGCTACAGAGCCCGGAGCCCAGCACCGCCTGGCCGAGCGCTCGACTTAGCGTGTGGCGACAGGGCGACAATCTGATCTCTGCCGAGAAGCTCGGACCTTCAAACATTTTGGGAGCTTACCCTTCCTCCCACTAACATGGCACGTGCGGGATGGCATCTGGAAGACCAGTTTCCTCTTGAAAGGATCCCCTGCCAAGTGCCGTGTTGGTGGGAGAGCGGGTAACTGCTCATTTTTCGAGTGGTAGTCTAAACAGAAGTCAGGACCCTGAAATGGTCTACTGTGGCCTATGGCCTGCCCTCATTCAATGGGGTTCTACATTCTAAACCAAAGGAATCAGGTTGAGGCTTCTGAGGTCTCGGTGAAGCGTTCTCGCTTGGCCGTGTTAGTGAGAGTGCATTGGGGGTGCCCACCAGAAGTGCTGCTCAAGCATCCTCGTTCCGATTCACTTTAAAAGGATCCCTAGCAACTGGCTCTTTGAAGTCGTTTTGACCGACCCACAAGCACCGCTTGAATTTCGGGTGATGGATGGAACAATCTGCTTTTTGGTCTTACTTTCGGGAATGCGGAAAAATACTTCCGGGATCCTTCTCTTTCCCTCGAGGCCGGATTCCTTGCAGGGCGGCCATTTTTCTCTCAGAGGCCAAATTCCTTGGCAGGGCGGCCCCTTTCAATTGGAAACTCGGCCAAGTGTTGCCATCAGAATGGGGGAGCCCACCGAAACAGGCTGGGTGATGTGTTGTGCTTTTTTCGCTTTCCACAAAAGGAGGGTCTCTTCCAAGCAGGGCGCCCAAGAAACAAACCCATCAGAAAAAAAAACCCAAACAACCCCATATATATATATATATATATCAAAAAAAAACAACAACAACAAACAGGCCATGGGCTTACTTCCAAGCAGGGCACCCCTTAAACAAAAACCCATGAGATCTTACGCGGTTTGGGACACGTTTCCGATCGGCAGCTCGCCTCGTCGCTCATGTACGCCACCTGGCTCGGGAAGTGCTTGCACAGCAACGCAGAGCCCGTGACTGGGCCGACGCCCTGCAGGGCCGTCATAGCCTCCGCTGGGACGCAGCAGATGGGCTTTCCTTTGCTTCCATTGGCGGTTTCTTGCCCTGGAAAAATGAGGCTAGGTCCAGTAGAGAGGGTAGAATAAGAGTACCCTATTTTGTCTGTAGTCTATTTTAGCAGGGGAAGCCTCCCAACACAAAAAAAGGGGTGGTGAGAAAGGGCACCACTGGGGGACAAATGAGGACATATGTCCAGCCAGTGATAGATTCCCTTGCGAACCAACCAGGTAAAATATAAACATGTTCTTAAGCAAATGGCAGTTTGGGTCCAGTAGAACCGCGAATTATCTTTTTTTTTCAGACGTGACACACCTGGGAACTCCGTTGAGGCCCCTACCATTCTTTTCACCCATTCCTTTTGAGAAACCGCTGAGACGTCCCGAACAATCGAGAACTCGAAGGTCATGCAGTTGGTGTCAGTAGTGGGTACACGTTGATATTCATCTTAACCCCCTGTTGAATTTATCATTTAACTGGGCTGTCCTCAGATCCCCCGCTAAAGGTTTAACTTTCAGTGGATTACATGGAAATTCCCACTTTCCACTAAACAGCTAAAAAGCTAAGGGGGTGGTTGGCAGCCACCAAGTTCAACATGGAGTGTCCCCTTGGCAGTGATCTTTCATTTTGATTTTGGCATCCATCAGAATCCGAACCCGGCTGCAATCCACAGGGCGCCTTTGCCAGCGTTCGCTGGCGGCTCAACAAACGTATGGGGGTTCCTTTTTAAAGGGACGCCAAAAAGAAACTACCCATGGGTCGGGTTCCGATATTTTCAATTAAACTCATATGGCCTGTCTTCTGTGGCGAGTACCTCTTCTTGTTGTTAAGGAAAACCACCATTTTGGGGGTCCGATTCCTCTGCAATGCTGCACCACTGGGGAAAAATGAAACCCTGGATAAACCACCTACCAACTGTGTGGCTCCAAATTGAACAACCAGGACGCAACTGCAAACAACAGGTGGACGAAATCCTGCACCACCTAGGCTTCTGATTCGATTCCCCTGAAAATACCAAGCAAACACGGGGAAAACCCCATGGTTTCATTTCGCGGTGCGAAATGGATTTCGCCCACCCACAGTATGTCCAATGACGTCTTTCTTGCCTGCCTTAACAGCTTTGACGCCTTGCTCTGGACTCTCCTCCTTCAGCAGCTTATGGGCTATCCTTGGCCAGACGCCAAACGCCCGCTCTGAGACATATTCTGCAACTGGTTCTCAGATGCCTAGTTGATAGATGCTCAGAAAGCTCTGAAAACGGACTCTCAACTCAAAGCTCTCCTTTGTTCAAATTCCTGCTCTTGCTTCAAATGAAGTCTAAGGGCATGCAACTTTGAAAGATCGGAGCAACAGTGCCCAGATCTTGCGGCAGGCAGTTTGGCACTGAGCAACGCTGGCCGGGAATGCGGTCACTTTCGTGGTGCTTCAGACGCAAAATTCCGCCGACCTCTGCCTCCCGTCCCAGCCTCCTGCAGAGGGGACCGGCGTGGGATGCAACTGGAAGTGATTGGAATCAATGATGTCCTTGGGGGGTGGGACCAGCCAAAACCCGTCCTGGGACTGGTCCCAGGACCGGTCCTGCCACTTTCAGGACTGGTCCAAGCCGGTCCCAGGATCGAGTCCTGGTGTGACCGCTGGTATTGGATCCCACTTCAAACCACTACAGAACCCAATGCCACCGCAAACAGCTCCAGATACCTGTTTCCTTCAGTGTCGCTGTTTCCGGACTGGACCGGACAGGGTCCCAAGTCCCAGTCCCTCCCTGCGACCGGTTGAGGGGCACCGATGGCCTTGTTTCTAGGACCAGCTCAACGTGACTTGGGCGCAAGCCGGCCCGTGCGGTCATTGACGGACGAGCTGCCGTCTGTCTGACTTTTCCGCTAATCCTTGTGGTAGTAGAGGATCCCTGGATCTAATCTGCAAGCAAGGCCAATACGTCGAGTCAAACCGTGCCAGACTCAGACCCAGCCTGGACAGGGTCCCAAGTCCCGGTCCCTGCCGGCGACCGGTCCAGGGCCGCTAGGGCCACTGTCGCCGGGGCAGTTTCGGGAGGGCCAGTTTCAGGGCGACCCGGGACAGGCGACTGCTCCCGGGCCAACTCGAAGTGACTTGGGCGCAAGCCGGCCCAAGCGGCAATTAACGGACTAGCTGCCATATTTCTGACTTTTCCGTTAATCCTTGTTTGTGGTCGTAGAAAATCTTATAAGTGGTCCCTGGGTTTGCGGACGTGTTTCAGGACCGGTCCTTGTGACTTTTCCCTTAATGCGCCGAGGGTCGGCGGCAGCAGGCGGGAGCCTGGTTAATATATCTCGCAACAACAACTCCTAGCAGCCAACGTTCCTGCCTGCGCATGTAGATGATTAGACACCGGCCAACCTACCCAATTCATAAAAAGAGCTGCGGCTTGAACCCACCCGCCAAAGCACACTGCCTGAGTAGATTGCCCAAAGAAAATCCATACTTTTGTTTTTGCCACGAAAATAAGTCTTCCCCAAAGGTACAAAGTCCAGAAACTCAAGGAGTGAGACGCCACAACAAAGTGAACGAGAGACGTTTTTTTCAGGTGAACCATGTGCGCAGAATTGTTTCGCCCCGTTGGGTGGCTCATCGTTTTGGCGGAAGCCTCCGGTTGCTTCTTTGGGAGACCAAACAAGAAAACAACCAAACTGGGTGGGTTCCTCCTTGAGACCAACCCAAATGCCTTTCCTGAACTCCGCGACTCCGCCAGGGCTTGTTACGCTCGCAAGAAGGCACTTGGTGACATGCCATCTGCAGGCGCGTGATCTTTGAAACAAGACGAAGCGCGTCAAAGGTTCTCTTGGCAGTAACACACATGTATATATATATATATATATACACATGTGTATGTGTCAACCGAGCTTTCACGCGTCAACGATACCGCAGTCAAATGATCCCAACTGCTAGCTCCTAACATGGAAATCACACGTTGCAACTTTCTAAGGACGGTCGCCGCTCGGGGTCCTTAGGTGGGCGTCCAACACACAGACGACCTCCCAGGGAATTGCCGAAGTGCTGGAAGCTTGTCTTGACCTCCTCCTCGCTGTTGAGCTGCGCCTTTCGTTTCACGGTCGGGGAACCACAGGCATTGGATGGGCGTTTCGGCCATACCGAACAGGGAAAGGAAAATCCCAAAGGTCAAAACGACGATTCGCTTTGGGCAAGGTTGTGACACCCTTTCCGAGAACAGCTTGGTTTTCGGTTTTGCGGCTTGCTAAAAAGAGAAGCAACGGGACAATTTTACATACTATTTTCTTGATTTGCCGACCTCCAGTCAACTCCAAGGATGGGACAAAGGGCACCGCATTCTCAGGGAATGATCAGGGGTCACTGGAATTTCCCCTTAAGTTGATCAATGGACTGGTGTCCATTGAACCATTCTCCACTTTTCCAAGGTCCAAGAAGACATGGAGCGATCCCTCAAGGACACCCCCTTTTTCAGTTGAAGGTTGGTCAAAAGAAGGGGCCCAGTTTGGTATCTCCCGTAAAACAGGCGGCACAAGGCCTCACCAGGTCCCAAAAGGGTCCATCTTTGTGACAACAACTCAGTTGTAGGAGGAACCCCTCCCCGCTTCACCTTCGGCTTCGGCTGTAGAGCGAGCGAGCCACTCGTGTGCGCCTTCTGCAGCAGCCCAGGGCGGAAGGTGCCACGAGACAATTTCCACTCCAAAACCTTCACCAGGTACGCCTGCGTCGAAGACGTTGGTTTTTTCTTTGGCAGAGCAGAGAAGCAGACCAAAAAGACACACCAGGTAGGGGGAAACCTTCCCTGGCACGTCGAAAACGTTGGTTTGGTTTGGTTTGGTGATTTTTGTCTAAGAAGCAAGAAAGCGCGCCAGCTAGGCGGAGACCATCACAGGAAAGGTTTGGAAGGAATTCTTAGTCTCCGATTGTCCCCCCGGACTTAGGTGACAGGAAACGGCTTAAAAGCCGACCTCAATTGGCCTGACCGTTGCAAGACATCGTAGGGCGCCTTATCTCCAGATTCCTGTCCTGCATTTACCCCGAGAGGAAGGTGGAAACGGCTGGGCGGTCCAGAGAAGCGTCCCATACATTGAAATGCTTGCTCCCGAAAAGGTATGAGCACCAGGGAAGCAAATCAGTGCGGTAAGGCAAGAGGCATCTTGGGCGCACCGAAAGCCATATTTGCAGATTCTGCGTCATATTCTGTCTAACGTGAGATCCTAAAAATTTAGAATGGGAGCCGTGAGATACTCTTAAACCACAATGCATTTCTCTTCCTAAGCCTTCTTTATAAGACTTTATCATTGACTCACTACAACTCACGTTCTATTCTTTTTCTTTTGTCTCGACATTTGGATGAGGTGAGAGGCATAGATTATAAGAAGTTACCTACCTTGAGATTCTGGAAAATATAGGTGGAACACATCATGTGAAGGAGTCTACACAATAGAGAAATGATTAGTAAGATCAAGGACATGTCATCCATCATTAACTCCCAGAATCTCATGCCATTTATTATTGTCGTTCTCTTTATCATTCTTCATGCTAATTCTAACTCAATAAACTGGCTATAGAAGAGATCCGATATTTCATAATCATGTTTGCCAATGAATCCAGAAAGCGTTTCAATTACCCAGCATATTAAATAGAATGTAGGTGGGCGGAACCCGCCTAAGAATTCCTGGAATGATTCGATTCCTCTTTAAATACCAACAAACAATGGCTTCAACCATGGTTTCAATTTGTGGTGCAAAATGCATTTTGATTTCAAGCATCCACAGCATTACCCTATACCTTTATTTGGTTAAGTTTTTGAAGAAACAATATTTCCAGTAGTGATAGATTCCCTTTAAAACCAACAGGGGGAAAACAAGACATATTCTTAACCAAATGGAAGTATAACATTCCATTTTCCTCCAGCGCCTTGTTCTTCCCCGGCGCCGCACTGCGAAACCACTGGTCCAGCGCCACGAGCTTGCTGGGATCCTGGACGAAATGTCACTGGCCGACATAAACTGCGGGCCTTGGATGCGGTCCGACCAACCAACCGGCCACCGGCAACAAAAGCAACAGGCAAGGAACAACCGACAAAAAACAAGTACAACAACTGTGCGGGGTTTTGTCGGCAAAGAATGGGTGCCTCATTGGGGTATCCCATGGACAAGCATTTGTATATGTTCAGCCCAAGACCTGAAAGGGATTCCAAAGCAAACGCACCTTTTTCATGCTGAGCTCGTTTTGCCAGGTGAACTCGCCAACTTCCATGGAAAAAAAGCACCCTAATGGGCAAGCCGCGGGGGCAACTTCCAGGATACACCCGAAAAGCCACCTGCTGCATGCTGGTAACCGTGACTTTTTCGATTGGACCAAACGTATCTTTTAGGGGACGCGTTACATCGTTTAGCCTTCCTTTAACCATCCTGGAGGCTGACAAAAAGGGTATTGGACAACTTTCCTTTCAGGGAACGCCCCTGTCCACTTCCATGCTTGTTGAAAGAGAGAGTATTTAGACAATCCTCAAGGGTTACGGGCCATGCGGCTGTGCCCTTTTACGTGTGGATTTTTCTGCCGGTTTTGTAGGGTAGACTGAATACGATCTAACTCGCCCACTTTTCTGCAAACTGATGCAACCCGCCCATTCCATGGCAGACTCCGCGGCGGCCGAAGGGAAAGGATCTTTTTCTTTCTGGCTTCCGAGAGGGGAAGGTTGCCCCATGGTCTAAGAAATCTCCCAGCCGAGGTGGTTTCAGGAAAGGATCCCTGAAAAGGGATCGGGAGAACAAGGGAGTTTATTCATTACCCTCCCTATCATGGAAGCTTACGGTCGGAGGCTTTGGAAGACTGAAAGCTTTCCTTTTGGGAACGCCTGAGGACCTGGTGCCGCCTTGTGCCGCCTTTTGTTCAGGGGATACCAAGAAAGGCCCCTGCTTTTGACAAAGCTTCAAACTTCCGTGATCACTCCATGATGGTCTTGCTGGCAGTAGGGAATGAGAATGGACTGACCCCAACAAACCATCCATCCCCAATTTGGCTTCCTTTCCGGAATCCCTTCCAAGCGGTTCATTACCAAAACCATCCAAAGCCCAAACCCCGGACCTCGTTTTCATTCCCTCTACCAATTTTCCATAGCCAACCGCTCTGAACCGCATCGATCGGGCGTGGGGGCGCTGGATGGCGCCTAGACAGATGGTCCAAACCCAAAGTGGCGAAGGTCCAACTCAAAAAACAGGGAGTGCCTAAAAGGGTGCATCCCAAAACCAAGGCAGGGGAACTCCAGACAGGAACTCCAAAAGTGAGCAACATCCGCGCCTGTCCCTTTACAGGAAATAGATGGGTTTCCCTGGTAGATGATTTAGCCACCATGTAAACCAGGACTCAGTTTCTATTTTTCAACCACCAAACCAGGCCATGTGGCGCCTGCTTCTTGCTGGCCACCGCCTGGAGCGCCTCGTCGTAGCCTTGCAGCGCCTTTTGCCAGGCGCTGGCGTCGGAGCTGTCCATCAGCGACATGCGCTCGCGCGCCCCGCGGGCCCCGGAGGTGGGGAGCTGCTGGGGTGGGCCATTGGGGGGCTGGAGGGGTTTTGCCTATCCCTGCAGCAAACGGAATGGGCTTGAAAGAAACAAAGCCGGCTTTCAATTTTTAGGCTCCGCCATGGACACTTGCAGAATTCCTGAAACTGCAAGTCAAGGACATCCCAGTCGTTCGCGAATCAACAGCTACCTTGCAGAAAAAGGCCAAGAGCAAAAGCAGGGTGAGATCTCACGCTTGCACACGAATCGAGAGGTCAATGCCTGCGAGCCTCAAGAAACAAATAAACTGTTCCATGGGTACCTCTTTGAAGGTCCAATGGAAAAACCAAATCTCAGAGCACCTCGGCAAAGGGGTTTCCATTCCGCAACGTTGTGAAAGGAAAGGATCCTTGGATTCGGAATGGACGTACTAGAGCACCCAAAGCCATGCAAAGAGAGCGGCTTTGATCCAAGCTGCGGTTCCGTCGGGCTGAGGGTCGGGCTTCTCGCAGGCTTTTGAAAAGATCATTCGCATCTACACAAAAATCGACATTTCAACAATTCGAATCAAGGAATCTTGAACGGACCTTCATCATTGATGGGTGAGCTCGTTTGACCCGTCGCGCTGGTAAGTGCACACGGACATCAGAATTCAGAAAGTCATTGGCGAACTGATAAAAAGAAACAAACAGTTTTGCAGCAATGCCGGGTATGTGTCAAAATCGGGGGACCCCCAAAAATAATTAGCTGTTTTCTGTGGTTTCCATTTAAGCCAACCTTGAACAAATGGTACCCTCAAAAAAACAACGCACACATCATGGCTTTCAAGCAAAGAACCATGAGCACGCTTTGAGCAGACTGAGCTGCAAGAGAATCCGCTTTGGCATTCCTTTTGCCGTGACTGCGCCCGCGCTCCTGAAACCACTGGATCACATTGAATCACTCGCCCCGACACAAACAAATAAGAAAGAAGCAACGAAATAAACAGACAAACACGCAAACAAACAAAACAACCAACAAACAAACCATAAAAAAAACAAAGAACACACAACACAACGAAGCAAAACACTACGAACCAAACAAGCACACACACACACACGAGGATGCACACATGGCTATTTATATCTTTTATCACGGCCTGCAAATACATCTTTGAAAGCCAAAGCTTCACTTTTGTGTAAAATGTCAGAAGTCCACATGAGCTCAACAAGGTTGACGGCCTGGGGTCAAACGAACGCAAGGGATGATTCGATTCCCGGTCTTTTCTTGAGGGAAAGAAGAAACCCACATCCATTTTCGGGGTCGCCCCATTTGACAGATACCCAAATAGGTCCCCCTAAACAGATGGGTTGTGTCCTTTGGTTTTGCTTGAGCCACCAACCACAATATTTTGAGGACACTCCATGAGGACAACATGAACGGTGAAAAGGGTACCCTAGAAACAAACACCCTCTTCGGGAATCCTGATGGCTGTCTAAAAACCGCTGGGAGGCCCATGCCTGGTAATCGCAAGTAACCGGGGTGTGTGACCATGGCACATTTTGAGCGAAAGCCTGTATCAACCCACCCCTCGAACCCCGCGGCTTTTTCCTTTCAGGCAAACAAAGCAAAGCAAAGCGAAAACGCACAACCCTTTCAGTCCCGGGCCGTCATACTGGCGCGTCTTTTTTTGGAGGCTCGGTACCCCTTCCTGGGTTTCTAAACAGAATCCGCCAACCAAAATCTATTTTGGAGGGGTCCGATTCTTAACAGAGACACCCATGCAGAGCACCCAGGGTCCGAGATGTCTCAATCCGCGCCCTGCGCAGGAACCGGCGGACCAAGTAGATGGAGTGCTCCGTGAAGCTCGAAACTTGCCGTACCAAGCTCTGCATATTTCACGGACAGTACTTTCTAAAGGTCGGGTTGATGGTCTGGCTACCTGCAAAACATCCAGGACGTTCCTCCTCTGGAAGGCAATATTGACAATGAACTTCTGGAGTGGTGAGATGTAAAGGGCAACGATTCGATTCCGTGTGATGTTTTCCATTTCCCAGTGGGCCACGAGTAAAAGATGTACTCAGTTCGTTTGTGCTTGCTTTAGTAAAATTAAAGGGAACCCCCCTGGAACAGAAGGAACACAGCACTCTGCGCGGGGTTTCTATCAACGGCCCTTTTCGGAGCAATTCCTGCTTGATTCGATGCGCCGGCAGATTGGTCCTCTTCACCAAATCTTAATCAACCCCAGTAAGGGGGGTGTTCCTGGGTTTAGTAGGGAATCCTGGGTTTAGTAGGGAATCACTGTTGGAGGGCCCCGCCCTATCAATAAACTGGGGTTGATTGATATGGGGTGAACCTTAGTGGCAAAGATACCGAAGGGCTACCTGCAAGCGGAAGCACCGGGTGCACCCCACGCAGCCCGGTTGCGGCTGCTGACCAAGCGCCATGCAGCAAAATGCTCAGGCTGCGTCGGCTTCCTGGGAGATTCTGCCCGTCGCAACTTGGATTTGGCCATGGGTCAAAATCCCAAATCCCGTACCCCCGGTGATCCCAATCCCCACAAAAATAGGTTCTAGAATGGGTGGTGCACCTACCCCAAAATGGTACCATTGGTTTTGACCCACAGCCATTTGACCTTTGAACAACATAAAACCCCCAATGTCCACAGGGTCCCGGAGAAAAACAAAACAACAAAACGCAACAGCAGCACCTCCCCCCCCCTTTCGAAAGGAGGCTTCACGGGTTGTTGGTCGCAAACCACCTAGGCCGCTTGGTTCTCTTCACAACATGTGGGTGTAGCTCCTTTGGAGTTAGCACCTTTCGTTGGGCGGTTTTGGGAAGCCCCGCCATTCTGGGGGTTCCCTTAGTTCACAACACGACCATTGTTTCGCCATTCTTCCCACTCGCATGACGCCTTCTTGGCCCCCACTTAGTGGGGCCAACACCAAAGATCCGGACGCCCAAAGCAGCCAACAGGTCGAAAGGTCGAAAGCCAAGCTGACATTGCCACAAAAGGTGAAACCAAAGGTGAGAAACCTATCGCGTGTGACAAAATCCAGTGCCAGGTTCCTCTGCGCAAATGGCAGTAACACCAACCATAAATGGAACTGGATATGGCTGTATCTCGAAACAGGATTCGGACCCAATTTTTGGCGGCTTTCAGCCTGGGACATGTTCGCTACATGAAATTCACTGGGCCACTTGCCCAGTTTGGACCCAGAAGTAAAAGGCGATCCTGTACTGAAATGGTTCAAGGGAGTGAGTGACCTTGCTTGAACTTCGGAGAAATGACAACTTTGGCTGTTAAAGTTCCAGAATCCCATTTCAATCTGTTGAGCCGCGGTCGAAACTCCTTGTTTCCCCAACATGGGGAAACCAGCAGTTGTCATTTCAGGTCAATTTGCGGGTGAGAACTGATCCCCCTTCAAAAGTTGGAACCTTGACTTTGTTTCCAGCCAAACAAGCATCGAAAAAACGCCTCAACGACAACTTAAAATCTGCTTGGACGGGTTTGCCCTTTGGCTATGTCTTTTTGGTTCACCTTGTGTCCCAGCATGGACGGTGGTCTGATTGAAATCTTCATACCCAAATTGAATCTGTCAAACAAGCCACCTATGCAGGTACGAGGCGCCTCCTGGAGTTGTGACTCGACCGCACAGGCCAGTGTCACTTACCCCTGGCGTGCAAATCCGGGGAGGGGGAGTGTTCCCAGAAAGGAACCGCCATATCTTCGGAGCAGTCGACCAGACACGTGGCTCTTTTGACTTCGGACCAGAAGGAAAACAACATTTTCTTTGGGGGTTCGACCTCGCAGCATGGAAAACGATGGCGATAATTCACATGAAACAGGCTCGGTCCAATTCCTGCGATTGTTTTAAGATCCTTTCTTGGTCTCCCTGGAAAGATGGGCAGGGTATGGCTGCTGAAACACATCCCTCCATTTGCATAAGTAAGTTAGGGGTTGGAGATTTGGATTGGAACCTCAGTTCTTTTGAGGCCAAGCGGGGAAGGCCCCCTAAGGTCCAAACCACCAAACCACCAAACCACCAACTGAGGGTAAGGTGAGAGGTGACTTGTTGCCGTGGGATTTCTCATCCACTCGTCTGGGCTGAGTTTGTGTTGAATGCGACCTGGCCTTTTAATAGAGGTTCTTCACGCTTTGTTGGGGCAAGAAACAAAATGGTTGGCTTGCCAACTCTGAGCTTCGAAGTTCGTGTACATGTTACTTTAAACACAGAAGCGTAACGTGCCGTACTCAATGTACAAGCTTGTTTCCCACATTCCCATAGGATGGTGTGTCGCGCTTTTCATTAAGCCGGGCATGATCCTCTTTGAGCTAAGCCTTTTGATTAAATGATATGTTTGAAGCACCACATGTGGCCTCTTTTTAATGACTGGGTTTACGGTGAGTGCCCTTCATGGTCGGTCTTTGACGGGGATTCACGAGATCCCTTTGGTGACACAGGGTCGCCTTCGTGCGGCACATGTTTTGAGGGCGGCTTGAGTTCCCGCTTCAGCTTCAGAATAGGGGTTATGTTCTTTGTTGGTTTGGAATGGAATCTATCACTACCCCACCCCTGCTTCGGGATTCCACTTGGAAGAAACCACGGCCGCGCTCGAGGGCTCAGCTTCCAGCTTTGGAAGCTTGGACCGCAGCGCCGCCAAGGCCTTGAAGAAACAAACGCTCGCCACGGACGGGTGATGCGACCACTTGGCGTCTGGTTGAACTGACAACTCAGTTGGTCAGTGACCCTGGGAAAAAAGGGAACCCGTTTTGGGGAAGACCATTTATAGTGGGGCAGCCACAAGAAAAAGAAAAAGGGTGACACTGAACAACTGAAACAAGCCAACCAACAGACCTGCCCTTCCTCCCACGTTGCCATGGCACCAAGAGGGATCCGTGATCTTGCAGGTACCCTCCCACAGGTGCCATCTCAGTGGGAGGGAGGGTAATTGTCCCCAACATAAATACCAACAAACCTATGGCTTCAACCGGCTTTATTTCGTAGTTTTTCCCCGAACAATGTGTCCACTGAGGGGTTCTTACGGTTAGAGTAAAGGCCCAGTGCTAGATCAAGGTGCCCGCCCTGGCCTCGAGGAATTAGCGTAGTATTTACCGCAAAATCGTAATGTTGTATGATGTCGAAGTGCGTTTCGACTGCGCAGGCTCGCGCAAGATGAGGCCCGCGAGTCTGGTTGCGAGCACTTTGCGTGGTATTTACTGCGAAATCGTGATGTTGTCTGATTTCGAACGATTGCGCAGGCTCGCACAAAATGAGGCCCCCGAGTTTGTCCGGGAGCACAGGCTCCCACAAAGTGAGGCTCGCGAGTGTGTCCGGGAGCATTTTGCGTGGTAATTCCCCCCCGATATCGTGATGTTTGTTGTATGGTGTCGAAGTGCGTTTCGATTGCGCAGGCTTGCGCAAGATGAGGCCCGCGAGTCTGGTTGCGAGCACTTTGCGTGGCATTTACTGCGAAATCGTGATGTTGTCTGATTTCGAACGACTGCGCAGGCTCGCACAAAATGAGGCCCCCGAGTTTGTCCGGGAGCACAGGCTCCCACAAAGTGAGGCTCGCGAGTGTGTCCGGGAGCTTTTTGCGTGGTATTCCCCCCCCATACCGTGATGTTTGTTGTATGGTGTCGAAGTGCGTTTCGATTGCGCAGGCTCGCGCAAGATGAGGCCCGCGAGTCTGGTTGCGAGCACTTTGCGTGGTATTTACTGCGAAATCGTGATGTTGTCTGATTTCGATCGACTGCGCAGGCTCGCACAAAATGAGGCCCCCGAGTTTGTCCGGGAGCACAGGCTCCCACAAAGTGAGGCTCGCGAGTGTGTCCGGGAGCATTTTGCGTGGTATTCCCCCCCCGATATCGTGATGTTTGTTGTATGGTGTCGAAGTGCGTTTCGATTGCGCAGGCTCGCGCAAGATGAGGTCCGCGAGTCTGGTTGCGAGCACTTTGCGTGGTATTTACTGCGAAATCGTGATGTTGTCTGATTTCGAAAGACTGCGCAGGCTCGCACAAAATGAGGCCTGCGAGTTTGACCGGGAGCATTTTGCGTGGTATTTACCGCAAAGTTGTGTGATGTTGTATGATGTCGAAGTGCGTTTTGACTGCGCAGGCTCGCTGAAAATGAGGCTCACGAGTTTGTCCGGGAGCATTTTGCGTGGTATTCCCTGATGTTGTGTGGTGTCGAAGTGCGTTTCGATTGCGCAGGCTCGCGCAAGATGAGGCCCGCGAGTCTGGTTGCGAGCACTTTGCGTGGTATTTACTGCGAAATCGTGATGTTGTATGATGTCGAAGTGCGTTTTGACTGCGCAGGCTCTCTGAAATGAGGCCCGCGAGTGTGGCCGGGAGCATATTGCGCGCAAAATCATGATGTTGTATGATGTCGAAGTGTGTTTCGGCAACACTGCGCAGAATGAAATGTGTGTAAAATTAGTTATGCTCTTCGGTGTGCTGGTGGGTGGAACAGAGAGACAGAGAGACAGAGAGACAGAGACAGAGAGAGAGTTTGCTGCGGAACATAGGTACAGAAACTTAGAGTGACGCTAATAATTCCCCAACCACGCGCTTGCGTTGCGACTTCTTGTGGCGACTTGCTCTTGTAAATCTAGGGCCATTGGGGGTGCGTCGCGTGCCTCAGTCGGCTTGTTGCGCGGCATGGAAACTTCCAATTCCGTGTTTCACGCATGAAGATGCTGGAAACCACCCACTCCATGTCGTTGTCGGTGTACAAGCGCCCGCAGGATGCCCATGTCTTTCCAGCCCGTGGCCGCCGGGTCAGCTTGTTTACGCCCGTCACTGTTTGGGGTCTCTTGCCGGGATAACTGTTGGAGTTCCCGTAGGTTCCCCTACAATCATTAGGGCATCCCAATGAACATGGAACCCAAGGTGGATTGCATGCCCGAACTTGGAGCCGGAGCCAGCTATTCTTGGGACTTCAGGCTACATCCACCTACTCCCTTCTCCTTGGCTTTCAACGGTAAGCAAAAGGAGACATTCCAGTGTTCCATACTGTTTAGACCACGACAGGAGATGAATTTGCTCGACACGAGGGAGACACCTGGGATTTCTGGCATAAAAACACAACCCTCCTGAAATTGAATGCAAATGCACGACCGCTTGGTGATGAGCATGGAAACATGAAGGATAGGTGGCTTGGGATTGGGGGGGGTTCAGGTAGTTGAGTAGGTTCAGGTACCCTAAAATCTAGGACTGAAATGTTTATCATTCCCGTAGAGAGCAAAGATATAAAATGGAACCACATGTTGACCCACCATTTGGTTGCGCACAATGGGAGCGATGGCTTGGGCGTCGAGCATGGCTTTGCTTTGCAAGGATACCTCAACTACCTGCCCAAAAGCCTAGGATTAGCTTCAACTGGCTTGCTGACGCCCCATTTACTAACTTACCATCGCCAAATTCAGTCGTACACAGGGCTTTCTGTGCTTCGTTTGTGGGTTGGGCAGAGCAAACACGGAATGACCGGCCAACACCATTCCATGGTGACAAGAAACAAAGACCCCGTAAATGCTCGAGCACCCACACAAGCACTGACAAAAGGCTCAGCAACTTACAGATGTTTCTCCGCGAAAGCTTGGATGTAGCGGAAAGCACGTCAGCCTGGAGATTTGCAGCAACATCTGCGCGCATGCCTTCAGCCCAGCCTTCCATGAATTTGTATTGCCAACATGCTTGGAACATGAGAGACTTCTCAGCGCTCTTCGAACCCCTGTTTGACTTTTTGCCTTGCCGTCCCCCTTTACTGGGAATCCGGGTCACTTTTGTAGGTGACGCAAAACCCCTATCAGCAGGATTATTAATCCGTCCTCGCTCGTGTTTTTAGGGGTGGCTCCCTACTAAAGCCAAGCACCCGAGCAACTCTCTGGAAAGGCGCGGCCTGCCTTCTGCTTGGCAGCAGAGGAGCAACCTGTGCTCCTTGGCCCAGGAACTACACTTCTGAGAGGTACATGGGGCAGACATTGTGGTATTCCTTGTGGTTTCCCTGCTAAAATACACACACAGAAACAAACACATGGGGGTACCCTTAAAGACACGCCTCTATTGTCGTGTGGTGTGAATTGGTTGAATCTCCCGCTCAGTAAGGCGACTTCTATGCTAGGAATGTCACCTGCAAGTGTCCAGAAACAGGATGGGCGTGACAAAGGCATCGTGAAGACTAAGGCACGCTAGCTTAGAGGACTTCAGGACCTGTCATTTTCAATCCGGACAAGGCGGTTGAGTCTTCCAAAAACGCAACTCGCGCCTGTACCGACAGTGTGAAGCTGCTAGCCTGGGCTTCTGGATGCTTCGGCTCAGCTTCGGGCAGAGCTTCGGGGGCATGGGGACTGACGATAGCTCGCTTTCAAGTTCAGGTGCATCTTTCACAAGAGTTGGGTGCAACCCGGCGCACCTTCATAAATACGCCTTTACCACGGACGCAAATAGGTTCTATACGGACAACACATTGGGTCGCTTGAAAAGCGACCTTATGCGAACCGATGTGCTGATGCGCAGTGCGGTGACTCAGTGCAGCATGAAAGCGCCTGCAGTTCAATCAGCCAGTGCGCGCGTCTAGAGTCAGCTGCAATACATTAGCAAGCGATGCCTGGCAGAACAGGCTCAGCATTGGCCTTAAGAATGCAGCCTTCATGTTCGGACAAGAAACATGCTTGATGTTGGGCACGGCAACAACTCATCCGGGCAACTTCCTGAACACCACGCACCTAATCCCGAAGTAAGGAGCCTAGTTTTGTTGTTTCTGTAGCCCCACGTGTCCATGCTTGCTCAACGGCCACAAGGTTTGCGGCATAATTCCTGCGCGATCAAACAATCCAACGGGCCATGTAGGCAGGCTCTGGACGTGCCATACTGTAAATGACAAAGCGCTACCGGCAGGTTCAGCTTTTTCAAACAGCACTTTCTAAAGGCAGGAGTCAAGGAGTCAATAAGTGAGTCCGGAAGTGATTCAGTGAGTGAAGTGAAGTGAAGCGAAGCGAAGCGAAGAGAAGCAAAGTAATGAATGAATGAATGAATGAATGAATGAATGAATGAATGAATGAATGAATGAATGAATGAATGAACGACTGACTGAGTGAGCGAGCGAGTGAACCCCTCAGGGGTCCCCAAACATGCTGGGACGGTACGGCACAGGGTTGCCCTCCTTTGGTTGTAACCCAAAACCAGCAGAATCGCTTGGACAGTTTATGTTTGAGAGGCTTCTCCACAAAGCTATACTCTGTGTAGGTCCAGTTTAAGTCTCCCCTGAAGCTGCTGTGATCTTTTGATGATTTCATCATGTCGTCACGTGAACCAATCATGCGTATCAATAGAGGCCTGCTCCACAAGTGATCCGATTGCTTCTAAACTGGACACTACACTACTCATTCATCAACCAACAGTTGAGGAGTCCGGTTCCCTTCACAGAGCTGCAATCCGCAACAAGAGGGTTGTGCAGAGATGCTCCATGCATTATCTTTTTATCCACACGCCTTTGGAAGGCGGCAAACCTGAAGTCAGGCATGCCAAGCTGAGGCAGGGACGAAAATGTGCTGGAATGGAAAAGGACCTGCGCGCAGCAAGCGGATGGCAGCTCAAGTGAGGGATTACTAAAATGGTTCTAGAGGTTTATAGAGGCCTTACTGCAATCTCCATCAACACAAGCAGTAGAACCACACCATAATTCCGGAACACAAGAAACAAGGAACACCCACGTAAAATACTCAGATCATGATCAAAATGTCATAGGGCCCACGATATAGAAGAATTGCTGACGCAAGGAACCCCGCAAGTACACGACCTATGGGTGAGCTTTGCTAGGTGAGCGCGCCATAAGATCGGCCGAAAAACTGGGCGCTGCCTTGAGATTGAGCAGACGTTGCCGCTCTCGAGAGAGGCCAAACCATTGGGGCCGAACAACATGGGAAATGGGAATCCGAAGCATGCTCAAAAACAACCCATGCAAAACTTGGTTGAACAACCCAACAATTCTCTTCCTATTGATGGGCCCGACTTGGGCTAGGAGCACATGACTATCCTACTCACCAACCAGCCAACCACTCCACACTCCACCCCCACTCCACCCAACTCCACCCCACCCACTCCAACCCCACCCCACCCCACTCCACCCCACCCCACCCCACCCCACTCCACCCCACCCCAACCCACCAACCGGGACCTCAAGCTGCAAGCCACCCCGACTCCGAGACCCGACTCTTCAGCCTCCATGCCGCCCTTGGCTGGCAGGAAGAGGGTGGGCCCCGCGTTGGTGATCACACTCTCGCAGCCTGCGAAGCGAGAAGAGCTCCCCTTCAATCCAACCCCTCCGTTTAGGGGAAATAGATGGCCCTGGTAGATGATTAAACCACCAGGTAAACCAGGGCTATCGATTTTTCTACCAAAACAACCAAAAAGGACACCTATGGCCCGAATTTATCACTTCCGATCGGCTGCTTTCTGAGAGGGGATGTGTGCCAGCGGGTCTGGCGAATGTCTTTCTCTGGGCCGTGCACAGGCTGAGCGGCCTTGGCTGACGCATGGTGTCGGTATTCCACTGTGGCTGGGCTATATTCCGAATGCTAATCTCATTACGCACCGGTTGCTTTGTATTTGACACTCAAAAATGTCCAAATCAAGTCCGGAACGGAACTCAGAGAGTGAGCAATTGGCAGTGTGGTTCGGAGCTTAGGGGGTACCTTCCCCTCAAAAACTGAGGTTCAAAACTTCCAAACGCTCTAAAACCTGCGCAGCTCAAACAACAAATTGAACTAATCAAGTCTCGGCTTAGCATTTTTGAGCCCGTGCAGTTCTTGGAGCTCAACCATCAAAAAACACAACGCAACACTGCGAATACCAGTCTTTCCAACACTGACAAAGCTGCATCTGAAACCGCTTTCCTGTCATGTCTTTTGCTGGCTTGATTCCTGTTTCGCACCAAGCACACAAACAACATCTGACACAATACAATGTATCTTACGAAAACTCTGTGCATTACTGTGTTTTGTGCAAGATATCTACAAGTGGAAACTGAAGATCTTCAATTGATTCCTCTTCTGCGCAAAAGGCAGAAAAGTGCGGCCAAACAGGCAAATGTATGGCGGGTATATCTATCTACACATATATGCATGTGCGTATGTATATATATATATATATATATATGGTCACCCCCCCCCCCATGATCCACACCCCCATGTTGCAAACTAGAAAACATACCAAAAAATGCAGGAAAACAAGTTTTTCCTTGTTTTTTGTTATACAAAGGCATATCAGATTCTGACCAGATCCTTTGAAGGATATCATCTCCAGATGAAATGGGTCGGTTCAGCAGATGGTTTCCTAAATTTGAAGGATGAATCCAATGTTGGCCTTCAGAGTGAGATAGTTTTGAGACTGGATGCAAGCTTGAAGTGCTGATGAAGAAGCTGTGACATTTCGGCCCTACAGCATCTTGGGCATCCAGGAGCAGCCAGTGCTGAGAGGCCTCTATTTTTGAGGCCTTGGAAGCTCAAAAAAAATAGAGGCCTTACAAGAGCAGAAAAATGCTGTAAGGTCTGAATTTTTGAGGCCAGCATTTTTGGTGCTCAGAAGCAGAAAATGCTGTAAGGTCTCTATTTTTTGAGCTGGGGAAGCTCTATTTTTGAGGCCTTGGAAGCCCAAAAAATAGAAACCTTACAGCATTTTGCACACCAGAAGCTGATCCTTCTTTAAAGAAGATCATCGAACACCAGGCCAAGGAGCCGTTGGGAAGTTGACAGACCTTCGTGGGCCATGAAGCAGGCCCAGAGGGGGCACTTGGCAACGGGTATGGCTCCATTGCTGGAGGGCCCACAAAACTTCGCGGGGAAGCACATGAAAGGCAGTGGCAGACATAAGTGAGTCTGCCGAAGCGAATGATCTAACAATTTGCTAGGCCAGCCAAAAACTGCAGTATGCTGCTTTTGCTTTCCAGGTGCATGTGCTGCATGTAAGGCATGACAGTTGCTCCTGCCAGATTGGCCCTGCATCTCAGATGGTTGGACAAGCAGAAGGTTGGCCCTGCATAGCAGAGGGTTGGACCTGCTTGGACAAGCACTGCATAGCAGATGGTTGGACCTGCTGGGCGTGGATCAGGCCGAGCTATATATATATCACCCCCCCCATGATCCACACCCCCAGAAGGCGAGCATATATATATATATATATTGCATGCATGGCATGCTGGGCTGGTGCCGGTGGGCAGTACCAGTGCCAGATTGTGCCAGGCTGGGTGGAGTGGCTGTGGATGCTCGTGGTTCTTTGTCTGCCAGCATGAGTGCAGTGTGGAATCGCGCGAGGGTGTTTAGCATCACCTGCGCCAGCATGGGTGCAGTGAGTGCTTGTCGGTGTGCGTGAAAGTATATCATGGTAGCAAAGGTGCAGCGGTTGTGGATGAGTGCGAGCGTGCGTATTACCATTTGGGCCAGCATGGGCGCCGGGTAACGCATTCGGAACCTTACCACCCTCGAATCGCAAACTTCGGAAATGCACCCCTGCTCGTGGACCTCTGTATGTCTGTCTGTCAGTCTGTTTGTCCCTCTGCCTGCCTGTGTAGGTAGGTAGGTAGGCAGGTACGAGGTAGGCAGGTACGTAGGTAGGCAGGCAGGCAGGCAGGCATGTATGTATGTATGAGATTCTGTGGATTTACCCCGAAAGACACAGCCAAGCAAATGGGAAGTTTGGGCGTCTCAAAATAGGGATTGGGACGTGGCTTTCCCTGTATTTGTTTTCCATTTTCACCCAAGCAGGAACCCTGAAAAAGAAACACCCATTTGCTCACTTGCTGAGTGGATGGCAAAAAAAAGAAGTCCAAACTCTATATTTACCAATAAAACAATCTTCCCAAAAAGTTTAAAGTTCATGAACTCAGGAAGTAAGTTTGAGAAACGGACCTACATCAGCTTCCTGGGAAAAGTTGATTGAGTCTCCCTGTCATATTTGAAGCGGGGAAACCCTGAAAGTTGTTGATGGCGCGGGTGATGGCCTAAATGCATCCACTGCTTGTTGATGGGCGTGCGTCGTTTTGTTGGGACCCTTTGGCTGGCTGCAATAGGAACCCCCACGCGGAAGCCCAACCTGCCTTTCTGAAGGACCAGTTTTAGTGGGCAACCCACCGCACACAAAAGGGGAAACGTGTGACACCCGCCAACAAAACGTGTTCCGAGAGAAAAAGAGCGGACATTTCTCCAGTATTGACAGATGTCCTTTAAACCAACAAGGAAACATAACAAGTATTCTTAAGCAAATGGCAGCCGGGTTTTATCACGACTCACTGGACAGTCGACTTGTCGGAACGGTGATTCGCCTGTGCCGAAATCGGGGAGCTGGCGCTTGGAGGAGTTGTTAATCTGCAGCTCCAAGTCACAGCCTGGCACTCCAACCATCCTTTTGACGCGACCTGAGAAAAGAAGAAGAAAAAAACACTGCGGGGTGCGAAATCCATGTCGCACCGTTCGGAAACCCTGATTTCTGATGATTCCCCTGAAAGAAACGGATGATTCACCAACAAACCATGGTTTCAACCATGGCTCAAAGTGGTGCGAAGTGGATTTCGCAACCACCCACAGTATGGAATCCCCAAGATGGAAGTTCCACTAAGATGAGGATGCCTCCGAACATCAGGCTTGCTAGGTATATAGTCTAGGTCCTCCAGTAGACAGGTTAGAATAAAGGCACCCTTTTTTTCCGGAGCCTATTTTAATAGGCCCCAAAAAAGGTGAAAGAGCAGAACTGGGGGACCTAGTAGAAATCTTCAGGCCCAAGAAGGTGTGTTGCGTCTCCTCACCGTTGGGGGATGTTTGCGGGCCGGGGGGGGGGAACTCCGTCTGGAACTCGCCGGATCAGGCAGGGCCGGGCCCCAAGGCCCCAGCTTTGGTCGGCCCAGCGCCTTTCTGATAAGCCAAGAAATGAAAAACACCTGCAAAGAGGGGTCTGCAAATGAACGGAAGGATCCCTTTGCGGGGGTCTGGTTCCAAACACTTCCGAATGAAGAGACCGATCCTCCATTTGCGTTTTCGTTTACTGGACCAAAACGAGCATATTTCCAGGAGTGAAATCGATTCCCTTTAAAACCAACAGCGGACAATAACACGTATTCTCAAGCAAATGGAAGCCATAAAAGAGTTTCCTCCAGCGGCTTCCACTAGGTCCGGCCCGGGACTCGAGTCCGCTGAAGCTAGGGAGAGCACTCACCAAAAAGCGCCCCAAACAACAGGGGCACGCAAGACCCCGTTTTGTTTGGGTGCATAGTTTGAGGACTCCCACGTCCAGTTTGTGGCAGCCCACACTGGCTTCCCGTTGTTTTCCCTCAATGCCCCCGCCAAACTACCCCGATGGGGAAATGGAGTCGATGACGCACTCTTTTCAGTCGAGCCACGGCCAAAATTATATGTTTCCCGCAGAGGACATGGGGCATTGAGACCTCGTTTTGGTTTTTTTACGCCATGTCCCAAAGTGGACAATCAAATCAGGAAACGTGGATCTAACCACCTCAAGAAAATCCGCTGGCTTCGGTGAAGCTTGCTATGAATCCTTGTGGGCGATGGAGTTGTGCGTCAGGTAAGTCGTCAGGCCGACACTTCTTGCAACGGACCCATTTGGCTCAAAAGTCAAGGGCTGGGCTTCCATTTACCTGGCTTTGGTAACCAAGGCCTGCCCCTTTAGACACCCAAGTTGCCCACCTTTCGGGGGCGTGCCTGGGTCCTTTGGGAAGGTTTCGGATTTGCCTAGTTGGCAGGGCATCTTGTGTACCATTTCTTGAGTCACACCCATTATACTGCCAAATGGAAGCAACTGTGTCTCTGCGAAGATGTAGACGCAGTACTTGAATATTCGGCCAAGTTAGCATCTGGATAGCCACTTGGGGTAAAACCCCCGAATAGCAAGCTTAACCCCAGTGAACAAGGGAGTTACAAGTAGGGTTACAACCTAGGACCTAGGTTACAACAAACACCCAAGCAACCACTTAGGGGCGTACTCAGTAAGCTTTTGTAACCATGATTATTGAAAAACCAAGGGGTTTGTTTGGTACCCCCGACAACAGTGGTTGTGGTGTCCTCCGGAAAACCTGCAATGCCCCGAATATCCTCGAAGCCGCAAACCCTCCGCGAGCTCGATTTGTTTCTGGATAGTATTGAATCACAATGTCAAGTGTGAGACAAACCATGTATTTCTGGAGCCAAATGGCCCATTATAATGCAATCACACAATATGCCGGCTCATTTACACACTATATTGAATTTATTTCCTGTTTTGCAACTCTCGAGTTGTGAAACGCTCGAAATTACTGCAATATAGAAGTGCGCGAATTCTAGCGGAATTTGGACATGACCATCTGAGAAAAGGTGCACTGGGTACTAACGTTCCGGTGAACGGTAACGTTTTCCCCGCAAATGTTCCCAAGACTCGGCAACGGTATTGATTCTAGGAATGCCCGAACAAATGGGCGTAACCATGCAATCATCCTCGCGGGATGATACAATACCATTGGCCCAGAGCGGACACATCGGCACTGCCTAGCCCGGATGTTGGTGTGAAAGAGTGGCGCATCAGCTCTTCGCCCACTCACCCGGCCGGTTTACACATTAACCTTCGGCTCGCAAGGAGAATGGGGAGCGTGCCCTATGTGAAAGTTGAGCATATCAGGGGTTGCCCCATGCCTGGTGGAAATAGAGCATTTGCTCGAATAGGTCCATTTTGCCGCTTGTCCGATATCTGCTTTGAAATTGAAATATATGTAGGCAAGGAATAGGATATGCAAAGGGACTTCGTGCGTCATGGTCCTCTCGATTTCCCTGATCCTCTCAGGCCGATAAACGATCCCGATTTCCCTGCACAGTCGCACCATCTGGAAATAGGCTGATAAACTGTTCACCAGTACTCATCCCATCCACCGTGGTAGCCCGACCAATGCGCGTCCCGAACGTCGGTGCGATCCTGCGTATCCCGTTGCCAAGTTGCTTTTGCCCGATGATCCGGAAGAGGGCTCAGCATTTTGGTCAGCCGGACAAATGGACCTGGGATTCCCAGATCGTTCGCCCGTCTTCTTCTTCCGTCGAAGAGGGTTTCAGCACCTCGGGGGATTGGCCTCCTTCTTCCCGTTCTCCCGTTGAGTTCATCAACCCATCCCTTCTTCTTCTTTTGCTTCTCTCCATAGTTGGGAGAAAGAGAAGAAGGAGAAGAAGGAGAAGAGGGAGAAGAAGGAGAAGAAGGAGAAGAAGGAGAAGAAGGAGAAGAAAGACAAAAAGGGAAAAAAGACAAGACTGACAAGAAGGAGAAGAAGGCAAAGAAGGAAGAGAAGGATAAGGAGCGCAAAGAAGGAAAAGCCGACAAGGCTGAGGAAAAGGACAAGAAGCCAGGGGTTGAGGAGCAGGGCGGCGCGAAGCCCAAGGCCGCAGGCAAGGCTAAGGCGGCGGGAAAGGCTAAGCCCAAGCCGAAGGCCAAGGCCAAGGCGAACGCGAAGAGCCGCCGCCAACGGCCACGGGCCTGGTTTGGCTCATGCTCCGTGCTCCCTGGTGACCTTTTTTGACTCTGAGCTTCCTGGCTTCTATGAAGGCTCGCAATCCCTGATCGCGCCACCTCACATTGAAAAAAAGGGCGCCGTTGAACTTGCAGGGCCTGCATGCTGAGCTTGCGTGCGCCGCTGTGCCTCGATGCTCTCGAAGTTTTGGCTTTGCCGCTGATGCCCCTGCCTCGCCTCTCCCTTTCCAGGCTCAAATGTTAGTGGTCGAGTCAATGTCAATGTGAGTGCAAATGTTACATTTAGATTCGCCTTGCCAGGTTCGCGCGCCGGAGGCGCCACACTCGTAGCATCACTTTTTTGGAATTTTGTAAACAGACCGCCGCAGTGCTGCGCACGGGCGCCAGCCTTCCGTGCCTCCCGGGCTGCCACGGACAACGACAACAGCAGCACGCCTGCTAGAAAGCGCCTGCGCCCGCTTCGAATCAATCTTTGTCTCACAGCACGTGGGACAAACCCTACGGCTGATAACCTGAGAAGCCGAGGGGTTTCTTTGGTATCCCCGACAACAGTGGTTGTGTTGAAAACCTGCAATGCCCCGAATATCCTCGAAGCCGCAAACCCTCCGCGAGCTCGATTTGTTTCTGGATAGCATTGAATCACAATGACAATTGTGAGACAAACCATGAGTTTCTTGAGCCAAATGGCATTGTGTGTGTATGATTACAGCATTGTTGGGTTAGAAGCCTCAGTAACCGGGGCTTCAACAGCAACTCTCAAACCAAATTGAACTTCAGGGTGTTGGGCAAGTTAGTCTCTGGTACTGATGCCGCCTGGGACTTTTGGTGTAAACTGCCACTAAAATGGTCATCTTGGGGCACCTTTCCCTGTAAACCAGCCCCGAAAAAGGCTACCGATATCGACACATGGCAGGCGAGTCCTAGTCCCCGGTCCGCGCCTTTGTTGCGGAAGACTTCCTGACAGCTTGCATCCATTTTCCGTGTGAGCGTGGACTTCCCAAAAATGGTGGCACCCAATTGGGCTTACTGGTGCTTGCCAAAACATGGCAACACTGAACCCTGCCACAAGTAACGCGCCTTTTGCAAACGAGGATCCCAGGCGTTTCGCACTGAAAGGTGGGTAACCCTTCGTCATATCTCTTGTAGTTTCTGGCACTCGGCTGTTGAGCCACCCCCAACAGGCGCGTCACTTTTGCTGTCGCACCCTTAGCATTCTCCCACGCCTGGCACGAGGGCTACAAATCGCAGTTTCGGATTTGGTTCACGAAGGTGTTAATTTCGCACGTTGCACGTCACTGTTGATGTCACATTCTTAGATATCCGCCACGCCTCCCACGCGCACGTCGCTCAAACGCACCCATGACTGGCGCATGCTAAGCACACCCACCCACGCGCACGTCGCAAACATGCACCCATGCCTGGCAGATGGTAGGCACACCCGCCCACGCGCACGTCGCTCAAATGCAACCATGCCGGGCACATGGTAAGCACCGCCCACGAGCACGTCGCTCAAACGCACCCATGCCTGGCACATGGTAAGCACACCCGCCAACGCGCACGTTGCTCAAATTGACCCAGCCTGGCACATGGTAAGCACACCCGCCCACGCGCACGTCGCTCAATCGCACACCTGCCTGGCACCTGGTAAGCACACCCGCCAACGTGCACGTCGCTCAAACGCACCCATGCCTGGCATATGGTAAGCACCCCGCACGTCGCTCAAATGCACCCATGCCTGGCACATGGTAAGCACACCCGCCCGCGCGCACGTCGCTCAACTGCACCCATGCCAGGCACATGGTAAACACACTTGCCCGCGCGCATGTCCTTGCTAAGCACACCCGCCCACGCGCACGTCTCAAATGCACCCATGCCTGGCACATGGTAAGCACACCCGCACACGCGCACGTCACTCAAATGCACCCCTGCCTGGCACATGGTAAGCACACCCGCTCGTGCGCACATCGCTCAATTGCACGCATGCCTGGCACATGGAAAGCACCCCGTGCGTCGCTCAAATACACCCATGCCTCGTACTTGGTAAGCACACCCGCCCGCGCGCACGTCGCTCAAATGCACCCATACCTGGCACATGGTGAGCACACCCGCCCACGGGCACGTCGCTCAAATGCACCCATGCCTCGCCCTTGGTAAGCACACCCGCCCACGCGCACGTCGCTCAAATGTACCCATGCCTGCGTCGCTCAAATGTACCCATGCCTGGCACGTGGTAAGCAAACCCGCCAACGCGCACGTCGCTCAAATGAACCCATGCCTGGCACTTGGTAAGCACACCTGCCCACGCGCACGTTAAGCACGCCCGCCCACGCGCGTGTCGCTCAAATGCACCCATGCCTGGTGCATGGTAAGCACACCTGTCGCTCAAATGCACGCATGCCTGGCACATGGTAAGCACACCCGCCCACGCACGCGTCGCTCAAGTGCACCCACGCCTGGCGCATGGTAAGCACACGCGCCCATGCGCACGTCGCTCATACGCACTCATGCCAGGCACATGGTAAGCACACCCGCCAACGCGAACATCGCTCAAATTGACCCAGGCCTGGCACATGGTAGCACACCCAATTGCACCCCTGGTACATGGTAAGCAAACCCGCCAACGCGCACGTCGCTCAAATGAACCCATGCCTGGCACTTGGTAAGCACACCTGCCCACGCGCACGTTAAGCACGCCCGCCCACGCGCGTGTCGCTCAAATGCACCCATGCCTGGTGCATGGTAAGCACACCTGTCGCTCAAATGCACACATGCCTGGCACATGGTAAGCACACCCGCCCACGCACGCGTCGCTCAAGTGCACCCACGCCTGGCGCATGGTAAGCACACCGCCCATGCGCACGTCGCTCATACGCACTCATGCCAGGCACATGGTAAGCACACCCGCCAACGCGAACATCGCTCAAATTGACCCAGGCCTGGCACATGGTAGCACACCCAATTGCACCCCTGGTACATGGTGAGCACACCCGCCCGCGCGCACATCGCTCAAACGCGGCACATGGCAAGCACCCCGCGCGTCGCTCAAATGCACCCATGCCTGGTGCATGGTAAGCACACCCGTTTACGCGCATGTCGCTCAAATGCACACACGCCTGGCACATGGTAAGCACACCCCACGCGCACGTCGCTCAGATGCACCCATGCCTGGCACTTGGTAAGCACTCCCGCCCACGCGCACGGCGCTCAAATACACCCATGCCTGCGTCTCAAATGCACCCATGCCTGGCACATGGTAAGCACACCCGCCCACGCGCACGTCGCTCAAATCCAGCCATGCCTGGCACTTGGTAAGCACATCCGCCCACGCGCATGTCGCTCAAATGCACCCATGCCTGGCACTTGGTAAGCACACCCGCCCACGCACACGTCGCTCAAATGCACCCATGCCTGGCACTTGGTAAGAACACCCGCCCACGCGTACGTCGCTCAAATGCACCCATGCCTGGCACATGGTAAGCACACCCGCCCACGCGCACGTTGCTCAAATGCACCCATGCCTGGCACATGGTAAGCACACCCGCCCGTGACGTCGCCCAAATGGACCCGGCCTGGCACTTGCCCGCCCACGTGACTTCGCTCAAATGCACCCATGCCTGGCGCATGGTAAGCACACCCGCCCACGTGACGTCGCTCGAATACACCCATGCCTGGCACATGGTAAGCACACCCACCCACGCGGACGTTGCTCAAATTGACCCATGCCTGGCACATGGTAAGCACACCCCGCTCAAATGAACCGTGCCCAGAGACATCCTGTCACAAACAATCCATCGATTAATGACCCGTGCTTTTGCTGCGCTGTTGAGTGCTTCTGCCACTTTTGGGCTTGATGCAGGAGGGGTCTGAAAGGTGGGCCATGGCGCTGGTTGTTTGTTGTTTGTTGTTTCTTACTTGTTGTTGGTTCTTATTGTTTCTTGTTTGTTGTTGGTTCTTTGTTGTTTCTTGTTTGTTGTTGGTTCTTTGTTGTTTCTTGTTTGTTGAGGTTTCTTGGTGGGTTGTGTTGTTGCTGCCCTTTCATGGTGTTGAAACGGACTTGTCGCTTTGGACCCTTGAAAACCAAGCGTTTCGCTGAGGCTAAACCGCGATGGAAGAACATTCTATGTGTGCCGCCATCATTTTCACTCGCTTGAAAACAAAGATTTAGATATCGAAAACGCAAAAATGGCTGGGTTTTTGCATGTTCGGACATAAATCACCGAATTTCAGCGGACAACCCTTGTGGGGGCGGCTGGACAGCCGACGGCCTAGTTTCTATATCGGGTGGTTCAAGGCTAGGTTGTCCAGTAGAGAGGTTACAATAAGGGTACCCTTTTTCCGTCTATTTTAGACACGGCGAACCCTCCCCAACAGAAAGGGTTGAGAGTCAACGGATTCGATCGGACGCGCGCGTTGTTCCAGCGAAACGGCCCCGGTTGTTACCACACGAAACGGCCCCCAGAAAAACAAAATCGGGGGGCGAC